AAGGCTCTGTCTTCACCAGCAGCCACATACTACAACACATTCCAATCTGCTCTTTCTCCCGCCTAAAAAGGAAGTTTAGTTCGCTTCAGTGAGTGTTGGGGACTTCATTCGCTTAATACGTCGGTGGATTCTATACCGTAACGGTGGTGATTAATGTCCATCAGCACGCTAACAAAATTGGGCATGCACTCGACGAACCTTCCCTAGTATTATCGCTCGTGCTTGTAGCACTATCGCTTTGACATGCGATTTGTCTGATCTCGTCAAGCTGTAAAACAGCCAGAAGGTGTGTGTGTATGAGTGTTAAGTCCAAGGCCGACACCACGGCTTAGTTAGACTCGCATCGATGCGCATTAGCTCACCAGGGATCAGATTAAGCCTATTAAATTGTCTCGTCACCACGGCAAGGAGTGCTGTCCAGGAGACATGTCAAGACACTTCCTTTCCTCTCGGCAGAATTCGCTTCTGGATGGTAGATCGTCGGGAACCAATGTTTCGGATGAAATGCAGTACGTCGCAATGAAGTTATGACTATCGTTGGGAAGACAAAGCCACCATTAGCTGCTGCAATTCCTTTTTCCTTTCTTGGTGTTAAATGCCTCATGTTTCCAAACGGAGAGAGCTTCAGCGACTCGAGCAGTTGACACTGTGAATGTTGTAGCAGAGATTTGCATCAATTTTAGAGGTCCCCGGTTCAATCCGAGGCCGGGACGTTTCTCACCACTTAAAACACCAAACCGTGAACACTTCCAACAGAAACGTAGTAGTAAAACGCTCAATCACGCTTACAGAAGATGGGCTTCTCAACAGTAAAGACATCATCATCCTTCAACTCTGCAATACGTCTACGTACCTTACATCACCAACATTCTCTTTGTATTACTATTATCAATAGAAATCACTAATGTTTTATATTATTAAACCAGATTCGGGGTTTTCATTAATTTCATTTTTCATTAGAGAGATTATAATGGACTTCCACTCTAGTGATATGAAAAACACTAGTGAAAAACATTTTTCACGACTACTGCATTTCGCAAGTATCGCGTTTTTCACCAAGTATCACGCCACTTGACGTAAGACTCCAATAAGCGCCATATGAATCCTTTCACAATGACAACGGAAAATCAAAAACCTACCGCTTTAGGCAAGGCCATCATGTGTTTGTGCGTGATGCCATCGTAGTGTCTGAGTGCATTGAACTTCGCCTCTCCAATGCCTACAACGCAAAAGCATAGAACTCCAACCGGGAGTTGGCACACACTACGTTTCTTGAGCTCAGCAGTGATTTCCTCAGCATTGCGATCATAACTGGCGAGAGCCTCGGCACTTTCAGACCCCACTGTGAAGCCCCAGGGGTAGAAGAAAGAAGGAATGTCAGCGAAATAGGAACGCACCTGCAACAGCAGCAGTGTTGAGAAATATTCACATACTCAACCACGTGTTGATGGCAATGTGGAAATTCTGAGGAAATTTCGGGAAATTCTCGTTGGTTTTTGCATACTTCAACCCCAATCCTCTCGAAAACTTGTATAACTGGGGATACTCCCGAGCTCAGCTGAAAATTTTCCAACACTCTACAGCAGACACACTTTTATGCAACTTCACGGACCACAAATAACATACCATATCTTCCCCAAAAACAGCCTTGAATGTGTTACGAATAGTGAGATAAGGATCAGTTACTTCCGGGTTGCCAGGATAAGAAAGGTCAACTCCAGTGCCTACCATAATTTATTCAAATTACGTCTTTCCTCAAAAAATCCCAGACTTACTCTGAGTGACCAAAATACCTCCTTTATTAAGGAATTTCTCCAAAACTTCCTTGTAAAATTCCACAGTATATAATTTCCAGCCCGGACCCGCATCCAAGGGGTCGCAGATGTCCATCACAATAACGTCAAACTTATCAGCATCACTTTTCACGTTTTCCACAAGCCACTGATAAGCATCTTCATAGTAGCATGTGAATCTGCATATCTCCTTAACTTCGACATATTCTTATCACTCTACCTAGGGTCTTCGAAAACTCCCTCGTTCCACTGAGTCATGTGCTCTCTGCAAAAATCCACAACCTAAAAACCAAAATCAACTCGAAAAAAAACTTTACTTTTTTCCGTCATACCTTCTTATCCAAATCAACCATCACGCATTTCTCCACAGACTTATGTTTCAATATTTCCCGAGCAGTAGCGCCCTCGCCGCCGCCACCTAAGCATGTCCAACCATCACATCTCCAATATCACTTCCTGGGTACCAATGTAAACCCTCTTAGGATTCGGATGGGCCAGCATGGCAGGATGGACCAAAGTCTCGTGATAACACGCTTCATCAGTTTCGCAAGACTGAACCTGAATTCGCTTTCCTCAGTCGAGCTCAGAAGTTTCCTCACTATTCCCACGCGAATTCTGATAGGAGTATACAGAAACCAACGAAAAACTCCCAAAATTTCATCAGAATTTTCGTATTGTCACCAACACATGTGCTTGTTTATGTGCATAATTTCAAAAGTGGAAATTCACAAACGAATTCATCTTCGAGTGTACAGAAAACAACAGAAAACCTCCCCAAAATTTCCTTAGAATTTTCGCATTTTCACCAACATGTGCATATTCTCCATGAATACTTCCTTACTTGATTATCAAGCACAAGAGTTCGCCCAAAACACTTGCTCTGAATCAGCAAAATGTCTTGAAAATCGCTCTTGCCCTCAGCGAGTATCTTATCCACCCCAACAGTGTACGCTAGTGAAGGAGTAACCTTCTCGCGGTAACTGAAATCTCTAATCTCGGCCTGCTTGGCAATCACGAGCCTCCTACCTCATAGTAGACGAGTCCATACTATCGCAAGGGAAAGAGTAAACACTGACCTATGAGCCTCTCAAAATCACCAAATAATAATTACCAAAATTACTCTATCTCAGCTATACCGTAATCTACTTAACAATACCGACATCCTCTCATGAGAGGCTTTCACTTTCTCTCAAATCACCACAAAAATTCTACATCCTCTCACACCCCAGCAACACGCGAAACCGCGACTTCCTACAACGACAGCTTTTTACGAAAATTGGAACAGAATCGATTATTTTACGGCGCAACAACAATCTCGCTCGCCCAAATATCTTACGTCTCAACATGCCAAGTAAAGTAGCAGAGTTGTTGAGTCAGTAGATGGTCAGGAGATGGTCAGTAGATGGTCATTGTAACCATATTCTAAATTTGGACTTCATAATTGCGAAGCGAGCGAAGCATATACCGCAACAACAGACATTTTCGCGTTGTGCGTGCGTGCAGAATTATTCTAGCTTAGCTACGAAGCGTAGGCGTCCACCAGATAGATCAAACGACTCCTCTATATGCCGAGGTTTTGGGAAGAATCGGAAAACTCGATTATATGAACAGCTCGAAAAGATATGCACGGAAAACTTTAATGACGGAGAAATGTCCTACCCGGGGATCGAACCCGGGACAAACTCCAGGATAGGGCTTGGTGCGTCTATTGAGTGAATCAATTGACGGGGACTAAGCGAGCTTCGCCCCATCGTCACGAAGACCTAGCTCCTATTGTACGCGTAAGAAGCGATTCTGGGTTTCGAAATCAGCTTAATAAACGACCGCTTTATATGCCACACCATTCGCGTGAGCACTTTTTATTTTTCAACAGAGAAAGAATCGTCAAGTTCCGTTCTAGACGTTTTGGTGTAGACTTCGTGGATATCGTTGTAATAACAACTCCACATGCTAGTATAGTTTTAAACAGTTTCCCGTTCAATCGGCACACCAGCCCTGCTAGGTAGAACAAAGAGATCAATAGCATCGAAATTATCAATCGTAACTCCTCCCTCTACATCGGGAAGGTCCTTGCCATCTTGTCTAGATACTAGTGAGGCTCGAACCTGAACATACTACCATCATCTCACTGAGGGAAACTGTTTCTCAACGGCATATTTTTCAGATCGAAACTTCGTATAAGCGTCAAGCTTCTCACAATACACATGCAAGCTAGAAATAGTTTTCCATCTAGAGCCCACAAACCACAACATCACGAGAGGAAAGGAAGTATCTTCACAGAGATTATCTCGCCCTGTGGACAACACTCCTTGACAATTTAAAAGGCTTAAACTGATCTCTCGTGAGCTAATGTGCATCGATGCGAGGCCAACTAAGCCGTGTTGTCGTAGTAGGCGGTGGACGTCAAACTCACACACCACTAAACTCCGTATATCTCTTTATTTTTTCACGTGCAAAGAACAACTTTTCAGGAACTTCCTACCAACATAAAAGTGTTAGCCTTGGTGATACACCTCTGAGAAACTCCAAGCCCTTCAAATTGTCAACGAAGTTTTCAAACACTCTCTACTATATCGAGAAAATCTTTCTCCACGATCGTATTCACACGTTACACCATTCTTGTTCTACCGCATATCCTTACCAAATGCTGCATACGCACAGGGCCAGCCTTTATACCAATAACTGCCAGACCAGTCAACTCCTTCGCAACACCAGGGATAAGTGTCACCAACTTCGACCCGGACCAGCCGCTCAGAAATGCTCCCCAATCTGCTGGAGGGGCTATCACGACTTGCACTCGAATAGCATCTCTCAGCGTTGGCTCCAACTTCATACGGATTCGCATTGGAACGAGCTCTCCCACAACAGCGACATCCTTCTCCAACACAGTTTGGACTACTATTGTGTTAAAACGACTATCCAAGTGCCTCGCGGAAGGTGTTGCATTAGCATTGCCATGATTTGGTGATGATATACTTGCGGCGATTGGTACCTCTAGCATACTACACAACAATGCTACGCATGGTGACACGTACTCAATATAGCATCACAACGCAGACTCCTGATCGTATGATTGCTTCCTCGCCTCAATGAAAAATGTGTATATTTCAACAGTGGCTATACGCCCGCGAGCAAAAACTTAGTTCGAAAATGTGAGTTATTCCCCATCTTAAAACGAATACACACATGGTCGGTGACAGTACCGATTGTGGAGGAATTTTAGGAAATTTTCGTTGCTTTCTGGACACCTCTACTCGCATGTAAACTTCTATAGTAAATGAGGGAACTCCTAAGCTCAGCTGAGCAAAAACAAAAACTACTTCTGATATTAAGTTGGTATTCCTTATCAATTCGTCGAGATAACGCGTTGGTATAACAAACGCAATAACGCTCAAAGAGCTGCGTTAATCCCTTCAAGAATTCCACATGCGCATTTGGGAATTTTCAGACTGGCTCCATGTCCAACCGTGTCTTCTACTGTCGCTACGAGTCGTAACTCACGACACACTCGAATTTCACATTCACTACCCCGCTCAGCATTCCGATATCAGTAAAAGAACTCAACACGCGAGAGCATCTGTCGAACAATAGCATGGTCACAATACCACTACGACACCAGAGGATCATATGCGGTGCGTCAACGTTTTAAAGGCAAGTTGAATAAATTCGCACAATTCTTGAGAAACTCAATTTACCACCCATTCTCAGTTGGTCACTGTAATCAAAACTCATGCGAAATCGATTCGCGGTGTTTTCGTAGTGATAATCTCAGCCGTTCTGTGTATTCGATTTGCTCATCACACGCGAACGCACTGTACATGCACAGAGCAATATCAACCACTGACACGAAAAATTACTGAAAATTATCATCGGAAATATTTTAGTGAATACAAATAAAAACCCTTAGTAAATCGCATAGAATCAATTTTCGTCTAGTCCACGACATCAGCTCGATCGATTGAATTTTAAATTTCAGAGTGAGTGAAGTCCAGGTAATTCAACAACCATATATAAGAGCGGCTGACCTCAATCTCATAGTACCCGGTGAGAGACAGGGGACGCGACAACAATCAAAAATCGTTTCTCATTCCTTCCAAGTCAACACACTACTCTCATTCCCCTCGTCGAGTTGATAGCCGTGTACAATGTGGAAGGAAATCCTCAACCTCCTCATCTCCCTCGAATCACAGGATCGCCATCATGAGTGGCGCGAGCATACCTAGGAGTTTAACGGAAGCAGCTCGATTGACTCTACCCCACAGGGCACATCATGAACCTACGAGCGGTAAATATATACCACATGGCATTTTCTTAACCATTTGGGAACTCAAGGCAATGGTTAATGGAATCTAGTGATTCTATCTACAATTAGACTCATAAACTCATCAACTAGCTTCGAGCTAAGCTAAGATTCCATAGTTGTGCAATCTACACAACTACACATTTGTATTGGCACTCCTTTTCAAAAATCACTTAGAAATGATCGCCTAAAATTCCTCTAAGTCAACGAGAGTGTATCCATCATAAACCACGAGGGCAGCACTACACCTGGAAGAATAGAACGCTTTTAACCGATTCAAAGATTATACAACAATATTGCGAAACGAACTGAATTTTGAGTTTCACAGTGATTGATAGGATACCTGGACGAGTGGTAGCGGACGAGGAGGGGCTCTGCAAAGAAGTTTGAAGGAAGTCAACAAACAGTGAGAGAATGCGATGGAATTCCTTCATATCGTAGAACGGTAACGAGAAGAAAGAGGCGCCGAACGCACTGAGTGAAGGCAAATAAGTCTAAAAGTCATTACCATAAATCGGCCAAAATTCACGAATCTGCTACCACGACCTGTATTATTATCATCTATAAGGCACAGAATGCCAATTCGCAGTTCATATAACAACGCATAATACTTCTGTGACCAGTTACTATACCTTTCAGAAATCTTTTTGGCGGATTAGGCTATCAATTCAGCTGATAAGGAAGTCACCTTCGCGGACAGGGACATCAATTTAGCGATGAAGGTTGAATGGGGAAATCAATTTCGCGAATAAAGACATCAATTTCATGATTAAGGAAGGCAACTTCACGAGGGTGATTACGTTTTCCCAGGGCAGAAGCGTGGTTTACAGGGCACCGTAAATCGCTCGCCCGAGTGGCGGAATTTAAAGGGCGATCTGGAACTTCGAGGGCAGGGAGGGAATTGCCAGGGCCCTAGGAGGAAATTGAGGGCACCAGAGCGCACGCCATGGCTTGGTGATTTTACAGAGTTTTGGGTGAAAATGGAGGGCGAATGTCAGTTTTTCGGGGCAGACAATGATGACTCGTCATTGACGAGTCCATAACTTGTACATATGATACACAAGGCCGAACATCCAATCGAGGTATAATACACTGAACCTCGGTTACCGATTCGATCAGACCGAAGACCGTTGATTGCAAACAGAACATTTGAATTATTGCATCTCGAATGAAAGTGGCGCTGAAGTTCAGTGACTAGGACAAACCACCTCAGTTCACAGGATAGCACACTATGTATCGGTTTGATATCGCTAAACGACGTTTAGTGAACGCTACATGTTTGCGAATCGGTGGCTTAAATTCTGTATCAGACTCGTGAACTCAAAACAGTTAGGTAAGAAACTAAGTTAATGAGCTAAATTAGCTTAGCTAATTGAACCTATCGGATAGGTTCATCCTGCCCGATGTCCCCAAGGAGCTCTCACTGAAGCCAATTACTTCACATGCGTGCTCGTTTGTGATCATGAAGGTCTGAAAGTAATAGTGTTAGCATAGAACAATCCAACCAGGATGTCGCACCGTGCGACTCGCACGAGTTTAGTCAAAAAGAGTGCACATTACCTGGGATCCTCTCTGAGACTCTACCGTGACCCATCCATGCCTTCTCGGCTCTGATATCCGTGTTATACCTCTGCAGCGGGTTGGAATTTTTGACCGGCCTGGCCGCCCAAGTGACTGTAGGAAACTTCGCGAACATAACATCGGCCACCTGACGGCACTGATCAGCTTCTGCTCGAGCAAGACGTAGCCCTCCAGGATCATAGTCAGACGAATTAGATTGGCCAATACCGCGAGTGTGTTCCTCCCATGAACGTTCGGCAGGTTGGGTTGACGCCGTAGAAGCTACTGAGGGCTGAGATGCAGCATGAAGATGTGGGCGCTGCAGGGAAACCACCGGTTGTTGAGTTGTACCTCGTCCAGTACTAATATTCCCGGGGGCGAAGGCCGGACGGGGAGAGGCTCGAACCGATCGCCGCCATGGTCCGAGTCCTAGAATTTATATTTCCCCAACACACACAGAACCAAGGCAGACTCTGCGACCGAACAACCCCCTAGCTGCTGCCGCTTGCCCCCAACTGCAGCTGCTGCAGTTGCTGCACCCATTGGCTAGATTCTAGCCACTAGAATCTCAATCCCCAGTACCTCCATTCCCATTGAACAGCATATTCGCATTTCATGCTCGGTTTTACTTTGTCCACTCCTCAGCAAACTGTACGAGAGTAGCCCCAAAAATAAAGCTCCAAAGAAAAACATTACCAAACTACAACCTGTATACTCAGTAAAGCCGATTTGGCAGTACGAAAATGGATAATCTAAAATTTCGCGATCGAGAGCTACTCAAAACTTTCCCAACCGTTCCCAGTTCAGCTCCGAATGTAGCCGATAAACTTACGATTCAACATAACGCAATCACTTCGTAAGAAACTAAAACCTTCCGCATAGTTGATCTTCCTAAAAACATCTTGCGCACTTGCAAATCCTTTAGCAAAGATTTGCCCTGAGATATCAACCTCAGACGAAATTGTGAAACCGTTAAGGCGAGCGAATGCTCTGCCCTGCAAAGGCGGGCATTGCCCTGAAAAAAAGGAATTACTCGTCACCGTTTCGCTGCAGAAGTGGCTTGTGAATTGAGAAAGAAGTAAGTTGGGTCACTCCGGAAGTTCCGGGCTGGAACTTCAATACGGGAGCCATATTGCAGGTTCTATTCGATTCAGAGCTTCCGAATCAGAAGATATCCACAGTCAGACGAGGACGTCCGCCAAGACAAAAGCCGTCCCCGGCCGGCACACTAGTGCTGTATCGGTTGCTCCGTGTGACTTGACGAAGGAACACGGGAAGCCAACTCGCCCTCACCTCGGTTCCACGTGGTCCCGAGTCGGAACTTCCGAGTCCTTGGATGATGAAGTGTGTGATCGAGTGAAACTGCGAAAGTTGTGTATGCCATACAGTGTATGGCATGTAAGTGGCACACGGTAAGTCGACACACGCTGAGCGTGGCACGCTCAACTGCCAACATAGAGAACTCAACTAGTTCCAATCACGGAAGCAGTAGCTCAAAAGAGATCCTCCGACCATCGCATCCTATCGGCGTGCGTGAAATAAGTTTGTGCGCTGTGTGATGCGTAATGCCTCTTACACTGACTTCTCACACAACGGAGATGAATTTCAATTGTGGGCACGAGGAGCCTCTGCGAATCTATAGGTACCACTAGGTATTGAGCGTGCTCGATTAATTGTCTAGTGCGACAGAGCGAATGTATATACAGTCGTCCCTGCGTGCTGCCCTAGTGGGGCGTGTGTGCTGGATGGGCGTTCGCACAAGGAGCATTCCAAAAAATGGAGGTTAGTTATCGCTAAAGAGAAGAGTCATTTATGGTCTTAAGCTAGTTTTCTTTCAACAATCAGCTTCAGATAAAATTTCAATCTGTTTTCGTTCGATTTCTTACCACCTGAGAAGCTGCGGGGTTGTTAAAGTTCCTCGGCCGAGGGCACGAGTCTGTGCGCTACAGTGAGTCACACGTAAGTGACGTGCGGACCGAGAATGTGTTCCTGTTCATTTTCGCTAATTCGTTGGACCCCGGAATACCAAGTCATCGATCCTATCATACTCTAGCCTTGTTCAAACTTCGTTGAGACTCACCGGTGAAGACTCGCTTTACCTACCAGTTGTATCGAGTGATCGAGTTGAAATGACTACCATCTCAGTCGTATTCCTCCTCGCCTTTCCTGTGTGCAAGGCTGTGGATCTGGAAGCCGCGGGCTTGGCTTTCATTGGATTCCAAAAAAAGTGAGAAACGGTGTGAATTGTATTCCGTTTATAATGCCTTCTTCTGCAGGCATGGTAAAAGTTATGACAATAAGGAGGAAGAGATGAAGAGAGCTGCTATCTTCCATGACAACTTGAATTATATCGAGGAAGTCAACGCCCAGAGTGAGTGATACCGGTCAGTTGTAAAAAGATGTGCGTACTGAGCTAATCAGACCTTTCATACAAGTTGGGAGTCAACGAATACACGGACCTGACTCTCGAGGAGTTCGCCGCCCTCAAGCTCAGTTCTACCGATATGAGCGAAGGCATGGGAGATGGATTTGTTGCTGGAGGTGAGATCTGAAACTCTCTGTGTCCGTTGGAAGCCTGTCGTTTCCGTGTCAGCTGGACCAACAACTACGACTCTTCCAACGTCGGTTGATTGGAGAAAGAAGGGTGTGCTCAATCCGGTTAAGGACCAAGGATACTGTGGCAGCTGCTGGGCGTTT